TAGTGCTTATTATGTGTTTAAGCGAAAAACGCATTTACCAAATAAGAAGAGACAGGCACTCATCATCGTCATTCCTACGCAAAACTGGTAGGTTTACGTAAACGTGTGAAATGTAGAAAATATATAGAAGCAAAGGAATGAATAAATATTTCAAAATAACTAGCTTTAGCCTGCCGCATGTTTCTTTAACATAAAAAAAAAAGAAAATGTTAACAAATAATCTAAAAAAATAAACAACGCAATAAAAGTTAAAAATTAAACAAAAACGTCGTTGTAGCCAAAGGAGCTTTTAGATAAAAACTTCTTCCGTGGAACTGTCCTCCGACTGCAATGATTTTTTGGAAACAGTTTTTGAATTTAAGTTTTTGTGTTTGGTAAGTAAGGTTGCACTGGGTAGGGATTGGGTTTAGGTCGGCAGGGTGAGGATTGCTGGAGTAGCACGAATCTCTTAGAGAAAAACCGGTCAAGTGCGAGTCGGACTCGCGCACCGAGGGTTCCGTACAAACTCAATTTAATTCCTCTACGCGTACATGACAAAAGAGGTAGTAACTTTAAAATTTTCAAAAATATTTTTTATTATACGATGTAAATAAAAAATTACGGTTTTCCTTTATCTGTACTATAAGACGTTACTTCGTACCAAATTTCAAGATTTTAAGTTCACGGGAAGTACCTTGTAGGTTTTGATTCCCGTGCCAGTTTCAAATATTTGCGGAAATTTGCGGTATAAACGGTTGTATCTTTTGATTGCTTTCGCTTAGAAGTTTGATTTTTTCACAGCTCCAAGGGACAGTAGACATGAGTATTAGATATAAATTTCAGTTTGATACCTCGAAGCGTTCCTGAGAAAAATAGTCTTGACAGACGGAAACCTAAAAATTTAAAGAAATTAATATTTTAACACTGGCATCGCAATACATTTATGAAATTTTAATATATGAAAGAAAAAACTATGATGCATTTGCAAATAAAAGTCAAACCTATAACTTTAATACGAGATTTAAGAACAAGCTTGCCGTTCCATGTTTCAGACTCCAAAAATCAAGAGGTTCATTTCTGGGTTGTAGTATTGCATTGTTTAATAAAATTCCCGAAGATCCGATTGAGCTTCCACTGACCAAATTTAAATCTCAGATCAAGAATACTTACGTATGAATAAGGGCTATTATAAAGTTGATGATTATCTGAATGATCGTAATGCATGGACATAGCGTTTCTTGTAATTTGTTATTTGATGGGTATTAGTTATTTTTCATAACAGTAATAAGGTACCTATCTAATGCCGCTTCCTATATACTAAATATAAAGTTAACTATAAAAAATATTGTACCTCTATGTTTATATTGGCGACTCTTTATATAACAATACAGGGAGAAAAAAACAGCCCTTGCTGAGTTTTTTGCCGGTTCTTCTCAGTCTCTCGCTGTAGTTTTGTGAACCGATGGCGTAGGTTCTTGACCTTCACAAGTGCGTGTAACAGCCTAGACTAAATTAATTCATTATGATTTAAATTTTGAGCACGTTTGCCGCCTGCATCAGTCAACTTTTCTGAGAAATTTTATGAAATTACTGAGAAGACATCACACAATAAACAGAATAGCTGAGGTTTTTTTTTTTATTTATTTCGGATATTCATACAAGAACATGCCTTCAGCAGAGTAAAGAAAAGATTCAAATTAAATTAGACTTATGTCTGAAGTTGGAATTCGACAGTTGGACTTCATTTTAAAGCATCACTTTATGTTCCCAATTTTCTTAGTACTGCGAGAGTGTGTGAAGTGCAAGTGTGTTAAACCTAGTAGATTTGCAATTGGACTGGCAATCACAAATAGATAGATAGATGTGAGTGCTCAATAGACCGATTCATTTTTTGCGCGTGCTTTTGCGTCCTTCTTTATATTCGCCCCATAGTAGCATAACGCTCATAGGTGGTCGTACGTCTGAATGAAACAGCTACATAGAATAAATGTATCTAAAAACAACATTCGCTACAAACTTATAAACAACACTAGCACTTATCACTAATAAAAATGCGAACAGAAAGGGCATAAATATTCAATAATTTTAAAAACCCTTTAGAAGTAGGTACCTTTTCTACTTAATGTTATCCTCTAACTTGCTATTAGCTTCAATGTTGTATTTAAAGTGACATTTAAATAAACGCTTTGATGTTAAAGTAGGACAATTTAAATATTCGTTACAAAAACAGCCAATACTAGATTAAAAGTATTCAACAAGCGACTTTTTACATTAAGTTGTGGAGAATCCTTTGACGAGCCTTATTATCTCTTCTTTGAGAATTTAAGTAATTTAATTAAGTAAAATAAGCAATGTAATGGTTTTTTTGTATCACCTTTAACATTTTATTTCTAGATCCGAGAGTTTGATATGTAGTCGATCGGATAGTAATTATATTATTTGCAATTATTTTATATTTAATTAGATGATTATTCTAATAATTTCAGTGGAGTTGTCGACTATAGTTTTTTAGGGATTGTATTATCATTAATAATTATGTTATATAGGTATAATAATCCTGTCATATTTTACAATTCTTCTTTTTCTTTTTTTTAATGATACTTAATATCACAAATATAATTATGCATATTTTTCTTCACTTTTTAATGTTATTATTTGATGTGATTCATAGTATGTATTAGATAATCTTTAATTTCAACGGCAATTCCAATCACAGAAATAAATCCAATGTTTCGTCTTTTCTTTATCATCTCTAAAAAATATATTCCCTATTTGGGCCAAGATTTTGTAACTGCATAGTAAAAAAAATAATTAAAAACACGACTGCCGTTAAAAAAATACTTCTATATTTGCATATATTTGATATATTCTCATTAAGACCTTTCAAAACAATCCTCTATTGTTATAATGAGAAGACTTTTTTAATTGACCTAAAAACTTAATTGATATTTTGACATTGTTATTACTTCAATTTTAACAGTATAGGTATCCTATGTTACCCGGGATGATGAAAGGATTCTAACGATAATCGGCTCAGACGTTTAGAAATTATGGTGGAATAAAGAATTGTACATACATACATGAACCCTGAATAAGTTACACGGTTACTCTTCTTTGCTTGTTATACGAGTACCATGAACCTTGATTACATTACACTCTTTATTCTTGGGCAGTCGTGTAAAAATGTTCCTTTATTATGGAAATTATATGTGTTTATATTAAAGAACTTGACTTACCGTCTTAACTCCTGGTATATGGAACATATAACCTATCGCTTAATTCGTCTAATTCGATAGATCCACCAAGAACATCGGATAGGGGTCAATTATCCATTTATCCTTTTAACGAAATTGATAAAACGAAACTAACTCGGGTTATTTTAATTGATGGAGTGTTCAGGAGCCAGTTAAAAGCTTGCTTTATTGAAACTGCCATTCTTTTTATTGCGCAAGAATTGAAAAGTTATAGGTAGCTAGAGATTGGCTGGCCTGAATTGACTGAATCTCGTGTTAGTTAAAAATATTGTTTTTTTTGTCCTCAAACTAGTAAAATGCTCAGTTATAGCCGGCGCAGACGAGGGACTTTTGTCTGCAGAGGCCTTATGTCCGCCGAAATAGATTGCTTACAATCGCATCGAGTCGAGTAACGCACACGACGGACTAAAAATACCGCGAACAAAAAGTCCCTAAACTACCGATGACCGGACACGGAACAGGACAAAAGTACGCGAGAGTCCGCGAAAAAAATAAAACATTTATGTGACAAGGGGCGGCAACGAACACGGCGATCTTGAGTCCGCGGTCGCGCTTCATAGTGATGTGCGTGCTAAAGAAGTGGAAAAAATAACTCCTTTAGATGATACATCAAAAAAAGAGTATCACGACCGAAAGGACAGTGGCGAAATATTTATTAAAGGAATTCTTTAGCGTCTAAAGATTTCCATCATCAGAAATGCAAATAAAATGATCTGAATGGATTTATCAAACAATTGAAGAGGGTTATCGAAGTCTAGAATTAAAAACTTAAATTATGGAAAAACAACTAAGTAATTATATTTTTTTTGTGGCTTAGAGTCATGTCTTCTAAGCCTACTAATTTAAGTAATTTCAGTGATGAAATTAAACTCCACTTTGTTTTGCATCGCTTTACGCTTAAACTATATTTAATTATCTTTCAGAAACATCGTGATACATTGTTTTAGTCAATATTATAGTGAAAACATAATAAATAATCTCAACAATACAAATAAATAATCAAGCCGATATAAAGTTATCTGCTAAATTAATTTATATACCAACTTATTGCTATCTATAGCTTTTGAGAAAAAATAAAACTTATTATATTTTAGGGAATAGTTTCAAAATAAGTTATTTTTTTGTTTCGTGGTAGGTACTTAAAGTTTTCTGCTCAAGTTATTTTCCTAGTAAGTTGTTTTCTAAATACTCTGTTGCTACCAGTAATTATTTAAGTAAATAAAACAAATCGAATTCCCGAAAATTAATTATTCTTCGATATCTTTTTACCACCGTCACTATTTCACATAATTTTTCAACTTTATCATTACAATATCATTAATTACTTATGATTAAACAATTTATATAACATTATCAAACCTGGCAACAATTCTTTTAAAAACATGAAATAAAAAAAAAATGTTTATTCTTTCTTTGCCAACATTGCTGTAGGTAAAAAAATGTTACTGTCGCCATTTTATCACCAATTTCACACATGCATATACATGCGTAAGTAGTACACGGTTTGGTCGGTTTGATATATTCAATCAAATTCTTATTTTCAATAGCTTAATCAAGTTTCAAATTAAATTCTTTAGTACTTATAAATAACACTGTATGATTGGCCCTATTTGTTAATTAATGTTCGTGATGTAGGTAGTAGTTAATTCATAACTAGCTAGTCTAGATGGCGACTCCCTCGCCATCAGGTTCATTGGTAGAGCGGCGCAGCTTATAACGATGCACGAGTGCGAGCGAGAAAATACACGTTATTATTACCGCCTACACAGCGGACAGAAGTCGCACGCGCTCACAAAAAATCCATTCGACAAGAGCGCAGGCGCAGCGCTATATTCGCTCTCAACTTCACTCCGGTCAACTTCGTCATTTAGTGGTGAACGAAACGTCGATGTGTGTGGAAGTGAATTTTAACTTTTCTAACAATATCTCACAAAAAATAACAAATAACTAGTAACTAAAGTACAATTTCTAATTTGAACGTGTTGGAACAAACATTTAACGTGTCATTAGTTGTTTAAATTGTATTCAAAATGTGTGATAATACAAATCCTTCGACGCAAAGTATAGCGGACTACTTAGCTCAGTTGCTCAAAGACAGGAAGCAACTGGCTGCGTTCCCGAATGTTTTCATGCACATGGAACGACTTCTGGACGAAGGTAGGTCAAAATCGCGTCGAACTATTTATAATACATCGGCAGGCGAGTGTACTAGCAAACACCGTTGTTTCTTGTCACCACAGAGATCATAAATTGAATGCGTCGACAAATGCTACAACGCACTCGATATTAAGTTTATTTTTGTCTTCGCCCCACCGAGTTATGGTCCAGTGGTGTTTGTAACGCGATCCTTCAAAAAGTGAAGTAAAGCAGAACGTCTCTCCGATTACGATTTGCGGTCAGCGGTCGTTAGATTGTCGCCGACGAAAGAGATCGGTGAAATGGTTGCAGTAAACTGGTTTGGTGTGAACATTTCGCCGTCGCAGCTGTTGTAAATAAATCTCTCTTGAGATAGCAGAGTTAATTTTGAGGTTATAATTGAGTGTAACGGGGTCGCCCGACTCGAAGGATCTGGGATCCTGATGGTAACCTGTTCTTATGGGCAGTGGTCATGCATTCCGGTACTAGTTAATGGAATGTCGCCACTTGGCACAGGTAGGTACCGTACGTCCGCTTATTGTGAGACTTGTGAGTCGTAGGAGATTTGTACGCAGTGCGAGACGCAGGCGCACCGCTGCTTTAGCCTCGATTAATTACAGCTAACCAGTCTGTACACTACGTAACCCTTATCTCCGCTACCGAATGAATGTGGAGTGGAATTTACAAGTCGTCTTTCAAAAGCAAAAAACTAACTAGAAAATCAATTAAAAGTACCAAGAACTTTTTGTAATAGGTATTTCTTACTTATCTACATATTTGTATTAATAACCTATATCAAAATAAAATGACTTCTTGTTATAATTGCACTAACTGTATCTGAACCTAATTAAAGATACCTGCGCTATATTCAAATATCATTGCGGTTTTTAGGCAATCTCCATCTATAAAAAAAACGGTAACCAATCGTAAAACAAACCGACAGCAAACTAGTTCATGTCAACTTTGTCACCATATTGACTAAGCAAAACGTACCGGCTCTTTGAATAAATTATGAAGCATTTATAATATTTAAAGCTTTTTTACATTAATTATTAACTAGCTTTGTACCCGATTATGAAGAATAACCGATGAACAAGAAGCAATTTCCTAATTGATAAAATTATAAATGTTGAGGTTTTAATAAAAATGTCATCCTGATTTCCGTTTTCGTTGTTTTCTTTGGTAGGTTTAAAAAAAATGATTTAAAAAATTACCAACACAACTAAAAACAATCACACAAATCAGTGAAGTCATTTTCAGACGATGCCGATGCTTTGTCATACTTTTGGCATTACAATTAATATACCTATAGTATGTCAGATTTTCAAACTCTTTCAAACCAGATGTTTAGTAATAATTTATTAATAATGGTAAACAAGACAATTTTATCTTTATTTAAAAATCTGTTGATTGTACTTGCAGAGACGAGCAGGTTAGTGAAAATGCATTAGTTGAAACATAAGTATCATATGAAATTTCCGTAGAAATATACGAAAATTGTTATCCTTCAGTATTATAAATATAAAATGATTGATACCCAATGTCGATGGAACTTGTTAAAATTCATTATAATTCCCAGTCACGTAGTAAGGCAAGGTCTGCTACCTATATGGTTACTTCTTACAATGTCATAATGGATATTCTTTTGCTCATTGACGCCCTTTTTGATTTTTAAACCATGTAATATTCATTGATTATTATCTAATTTTCTATGTTTAATATTTAAATGTTCTCAAACATAAAAGGGAAATATCTTTGGACCGACTAAGTAAAAACTAAGTTCAATGCGACAGCTATGTTACATTACTTACACTAATAAAATCTGTAATAATGACATGCAACTTATTTCAATTCATCGGATTTCTTACGATTTCAGTAATAAACGCTAACTTTAGCATTAGGTTCACATACCCCTCACTTTGCACACTGATTGTTTTAATTTAAATGAGCCGTAAAAAATATACGCTATAACGCTGGATACAATATAACGCTGGATGCGGGCAGCGCAGGACCGATCGTTGTGGAGATCCTTGGGGGAGGCCTATGTCCAGCAGTGGGCGTCATACGGCTGATATGATGTAAGAAATATGTCACCAACCGAATGGTAAACAAATCTTCTAGAATATATATCTTTCTAGAAATATAATCATTATATTTTTCCCTTTGATATTCGATGAAAGTTTCATGATTCTGTACGAACGAGTGGAATTTTCCCTAGTAAAATTTTTTTTACAGTAATAAAGTTTGATGACATATCAAATGTTTCGCAAAATCTTTAAATAAAGTGGTGATATTTATGAAATGATGTAGACATGGCAGTCAAATTGCGTGGATGTAATGAAAACATGTGTTACTTACTCGTAATATCTTCTTGCATCATATTCAGAAACTTGTTGACTTAACATTTGCCTTAAAAAGCGTTGGCTTTCAAATCGAGAGAGCTCTTTTCTTGAGTTTCATTTCGTTATTATTGTGGGAGTTGCGAAGCTCAGATGTGGTAATTCACAACGCTGATATGAGAGTTTTTCTGGTTCGTGTTGAAAAACACAAATGCATTAAAAGTCATTTTATGGTTTGTTTGACACGTCGCCAGTTCAGCGTGCGATGTTAAAGACTTGACGAAAATATCGACGGAAAGCTGACAGCCGACAGCCGCGGCATATCATGTTACGCCGAACTAAGAAATTACGTTAGCTATTTTAGACCCAGGAATATTTACTTGTTCCAGTAAAGGAACTATAAAACTTGCGTTATTATCGAAATAAATGTTGGCTTTTCGGAAAGCAATTATTATGTTAATGTTTTTGAAGACGTTTTTGAGAATACGACCATTAAAAAAACTAATTTGCTTGTAGATACCGCCCTACCATGTTTCTAATAATGAAATGTAAAGTTCAATCATGTTGTCTTAACATTTTGTTCTCTGACATTTAATAACACGTATTATAAGATCATCACGAGTAATTTCTTATGTTCATGTTTGCATATTAAATCGAACATTTGGATGTTTGCATTCCGAAGAGAGCATCGTGCATCAATAGATAACAATACGTTTACAAAAGTAAACATTGAAATTAATCAATCATAACATACCATTATCGATAAAGCATAGCAGATACAGTTACAAATGCAAAGAAACATCAATGAATATAATTTTCTGATAATAGATATGAACAATTTAGAGGGTAATCAAATGCCAGATTTTCTGATAGGTTTATCATACTCAGCTTGTGAAGTGCAGATTAGCGTGATAAGAGATAAAATGTGAGTTTAATAGCCTGACAACTCTGTCTCAATGACTTAAAATTGCACATAACAATCTTATCTTAAAGTTTTTAATAATCGATAGTTAATCTATAAATTGGTGAGCACTTCGCTTCGGTCTTACTACAAAAAAGTTATACAATGTTTTAAACCTTGTTTAGGCAAATTTTGTGTGTATTTTTTTCTTAAACGCGTGTTGAACGCATGTTTACTTTTTTGTGGTAATAACAATAAGATTAATGCTTAAACAAAATAATGGGCGATGTTACTTTATCTGATCATGTAATTACCTTGACCTCATTCATTGTGTCAAAAAAATCAAAGTATAAGTTATAAAGTCGGTAATGATATTGTAATTACTGCGCTTTTATGCGTAGGCGACATCTACCTTTAAAGCGGTTCCGCAACCCTGTGGCAAAAGTGAGACTTAAAGAGGTCATTATAAGGTTGCTTAGATTTTGATTAGGCGTTTGCGCCCACTCGATGACCAAATGAGGGTAGTCGTGGGTAGCGTGGAGGTGTAGAAGCCAAGGCTGTTCCAGTCGCTCTGCAACACGTTTTAACTTCTTGTGGGCTGCCCAATTAATATAATTCAAAACAACCATCAATATCGATATTGTTTGGCCATTGGTGGTTTTGAGTGAGCCTCATTATACTTCATATCTGAAATCAACTTTGTGAACTAACTTTTCTTCATGTGCATGTCGAAGACAATGAAGAAACTAAACAAATATTGACAAACGACTCATTATCGCAACAACGATGATAAGGCCTCCTCACATCTAGAAAACTGGATCATGAGCTATGTCTATTCTCTTGACATTCCCACGATTCTGTTCTTACATATCTAAGTTTCATCTTATACTTACTACGTGATCGCTCTTCTAATGAGAGACACTTTTTAAAGGTCGTGAAAACAAGTACTGTGTTGCGTGTGGTATTAGTGAATATGAAACAATACCCCTAATTTCCAAGTTCACATGAGCATCTTTCATTGTTTACGTCCTGAGTTCATGTTTTAAGAGCAATGATTGTTGTAAGTTTTAATAAGTTTTATTTCTTTGAAATCACTTGACGTGACAGAAATGGTCTTGCTCTATTATATTCTGTCTATTTAGAACAAACCACACGGGCTGGGAATTTTAATGAAAGTGGGGTGACCAGTGTGCGCAGTGTACTTGAACGCACAAAGAATGCGTTCGGGAAGGGCGTGTAGGTGTCGCACGAGCACTGTAATTTGAAATGAAAATCAATCGCTTCAGAATGCTGAGTTGAACCTGTCCTGTGTGTGTGGGACACCGAAACCTACGCTTAGTACCAAATAATCCGACTAACATTTTATATTGGGAAGGCGATTCCGTAATATTGAACTGCGTTACTCCTACGCGGGTCAACAATGATTTATTGAATCGACTTTTTGTATCTGTGGGTTATTGTTTGAACAAAATTCAAAATCTCTGAATAGAAAGTTGTTTATAAAAATCCCACACGCGTTCAACCTACGAAAATATAAAAGCATAGGCATGAGTAGGTATGCACTTTGCTAATTATACCTATTATAATACTTAATATTAACGTATTTAACAGTTTTGTTTTACAGTTCAGACAAATGAAATATGACTGAACTGATACAGAACAGCTTAATTTTCTATTACTAATGTAGGCAAACGAAATATTAAATTTATGTTTAAGGTCTAGCAGATCTGAAGTTATTTACACGTAGCCAAGCATCTATGTATCTTGCAGGAGTTTAACAT